ATTACTTACACTCTTAGTGTTTCCTAATATGCTGCTCAAATGTGAGACTAATTATTACCACATAATTTGATAAATATCAAAGGCAGATTTTAGATCACCGTGTAGCACTCCTTTTTGGTAAGCTGAGTTCAATTCACTGGCCAGGCCCAGGCCTGATTAATGCCAGAATGGCTGAATCAAGAAATCACCTAAATAGAAACTGCCTGACAAAGTGAACAGCATCTATGGGAGAGTTCCAAAGTGAAAACCACCCTCGCTGATCAAAAAGAACACAAAGTCTTAGCTGGCATTTACAAAAAAACACAAGACTATTGGGAAAATATTCTTTGAACTGATGAGGAAATTTTTTTTTGGAAAGTTTGAATCCCATTACACGTGATGTAAAATTAACACAGGCATTTTATAAAAAAACAAAAACAACAACTTCCTATTAGTAGTTAAACATGGTGGTGGTAGTGTAGTGCTTTGCTGCTTTGCTGCCTTAGGACCTAGACAACTTATCTGAATTGATGGAACCATGAATTCTGCTACCAGACAATCATGAATGAGAATATCCAGCCATGAGTTTGTGCCCTGATGTTCAAACACACTTGGGTTAACAAGCGGGATAATAATTCAAAACAGACAAGCAAGCCCACCTCTGAGTGGCAAAAAAAAGGAAAAAAGTTTTGGGCTGGTTTCAATCCCAATTCCAGATTAAAACATATTAAACATATTAAAATAAAAGAATGGCTAATTGAGGGAGAATTAACATGGACACCCAATCTAGGGCCTCCCTCCTTCTCCTTCCAGGACGGCCGCACAGATACCGCCGAGATGTGTGGCCTTGGGTCCTCAGTACTATTGTGGGCTGCGGATGGACCAGTTTTCCTAGACTTACACTTTACACTCTCTCTATTTCTCTCTCTGACACTCACACAAACACCCACACACACACACACACACACACACACACACACACACACACACACACACACACACACACAGCAAAAACGTTCTTCACTATCTATCTATCTATCTATCTATCTATCTATCTATCTATCTATCTATCTGTCTGTCTGTCTGTCTGTCTGTCTGTCTGTCTGTGTGGTCTCTGGACTCTTGATGAATATGGGCCTAATTTCTGTTTTCGCTGTAATTCTGTGTTTGTGTCCCAGGAACATCCTCTCTACGTACACCTAAACCTTTGGGTGTTCATAGCTCTTCAGCAGTTGGCCTCTGTGCATGACTGATGTCTCAGTGCAATTTTTACTCTTTTTCATTAAAATAGATTTAAGTTTTTATTTGTTAATCCAAATAATCCATAATAAAGTTGAAGTTGTGGGCTTTATAAATCAAAACAATGACTTAAAGAACACAAGTGCATTGCACAGAGCCTAAGGGAACTGCAGAGCAACATTATAACTCTCTGAGGAGCTGTGCTGTGACAATCTGATCCTTCTCTATTATAAAAATATTACAGAAATATCTAATGACTGGAAGTGATGACAGAAAACTTTCCCAGCTAAGAAACTTCTCAACTGAGATTGCATCACATGTTGATTTGTGAGACTGCATCATGTGTTTATCCTGAAGCTTGTTTTTTTCACACCTCTGATTGCAGCGACACCTCAGAGGCGAGATAGCATTATCTGATACTCACCCATGCGGGTGTGAAGCATGTCTTGAGGGTTTCATTGCACGGCCATTAGGAGCAGCTAATGGGCTATGAAACATTCTTCATGGAGCCACAGGTTAAGTCTTATGGGAACTTGTGAGTGTTTGTGTTTCAGGTCTGCTAATGGCCATAGAACACAGGCAAGTGTCACAGGTACTGAAGTAAAAGTTAACACTCATCTATTAGTTTTTATTTAGCTGGGCTCATTAAGACTGCACAAACAAGTCCACACAGAATTCACTTTAACTCCTCTTTTGTCTCAAGTTTTTTGTTTTTCTTCTAAAAGTTTGTACCAAAGACCCAACACAGTCAGTGTGTCTTAGACTAGAGTTTCCCCCATATGTGACCTGTTATTACTCTTTATTCAGCAACTGCTTGTATTTTTCATGCATTCTTGTGACTTCATAAATATTTTTCTGTGGCCCTGCAAAGAAACTGAATAACAGACTCCAGTGTCAATCTGTCGAGGCAAGCAGCACTTGTCTAGTGAAGTCTAAAAATAGACATCAATTAAAAAGTAACAAAGGGCAACCAATCTCTGTCCTTTCATCACAAACAGTGTTCATATCAGACCATATGGCCTGTTTGAGTCCACCCTTTAAAATACTGCCATCTTGTGTCTGGAAGCGGGGTTAAGTCTGCTTTACTAATATTCTATCAGAATCTCCGTGAGGCCTGTGCTTTCAGGGTATGTCTGTGTCCCATTAGCCAAGATTTGAGCTAGTCAAGCCAGGCTGTTTCTGGTTGTTTGTGCATGTACAATATGAATAAACCTCCGGTCTTGCACAGGAAACTGACAAGCTGCTACTGGCTGATAGCAAGTAAACAAGCTTCTGTGATTCATTGTGGTAATAGATCAGTTTCCTCTTACTGACCAACATGTGTGATATTAAGTGAGGCTGTTAGAGTATAGTGTGAACACATTTTTATATGAACTTCTTTGCAATGTTAGCAAGGACACAGTTGATGATGAAGAGATGTTCCATGTCCAGTTTGATACAACAGACAAGTTTAATTAAAGCTAAACAGGTGTCAGGGTTTCTGGGTCGTTGACCCAGTATTTTCAGTTCACATTCACTGTTTATCTACTGCCTGTTCCACTTCCTGTTTTATTGTGTTAGCCTTGGTCTGTGTGCATTATGTTCAGTCCTCTTCCCATTTATCATTAGTTCATTATGTTCAGCTGTTCACTCACCTGTCTCCAATCGTTGTCATTGTTAGTCATGTATATAAGCCCTCTCTTCCCTTCAGCCCTTGTCGTGTCATTGATGTTGTTCTTGTCGCATGTTGAGTTCAGTCAGCCAGTTAGTTTGCCAGTCCATTCAGTTCAGCCAGCCATCTTGTCTTCTGTTGTCTCTGTTTCCAAGAAACCTCATTCTGCACCAAGAGTCCTGCGTGTGGGTCAGCTGATCCTCGCCTCTGCACACGACCCCTGACAACAGGTTCAGACTCCACCAGCACTTTAATTTCTCTGAGAGATTTGTTGGTTCACCAAATGTACGGATTAACCACCTTTAAAATTTTAGTCCTCCTGTATTCGCAATTAACCATGTCAAACAATGTTCAAGCCTTTTAGTCATATATTTTGATTTTTTTTTTTCTTACAATCAACATTTAGGCCTGTGTTTCTGAGCTTGAAGGATATTATTTAGAGTTATGTGTTCTTGAGCCACTTAACACTGATGGCAAACATTTTTTTTTTTTGCATAAAAGCAGCTTTTTATTCATTGAAGTGCAATTTGCCAATAATACACATGCAGTGAGGTTTGTGCATACTGTTTTATTGTTTCATTTTTCTTTACCATGTCTCTGCTTGCCTTTCTGTAAACGACCACACACCACTGGCAGAATACTAGCCAAAATAAAATCATAATTATAGGGGAGGGTATAAGAAAAGCCAAGGCACTGAAGTGAAAGAGAAACACGATGCAATAAAAACTGGTGGAAATGATTCATAACATTTTTAATACCAAATGCTTACACCGTATTCTTTTTGCAAATATTGCCATGTAAAAAACTAAATTCAATCTCACTGTATACAGGAAGTACATGTTAATACACATTGACTTACATTATATTACCCCCAAGATTCATTGCTGTACCATAAACCTGCCATTTTATTCAAAACTCCAGGATCAATCTGTTATTTTACACAATAGTGGAGAAACTAGGTTTGGCCCTTAAAATGTGACGCCCTACTATTCTGACCAACACGGATTTCAACACAGTTTAACAAAGAAAATATAGATGTTGACAACTATTAAAAACTGGGGGGAAGCACTAGAATGGCTTCTGCATAATTCAAGTTTTCAGTTAACCATATCTGGTGATATGTCTTAATAGTAGGTGCATGCAAAGTGCTAATTCGGCAGAATAATTAGTATCATATCTGACCGTGATTTCTCATGGTCAGAAATGACAGACAGAATTCTTGGGAACAGATCTCTGGAAGTAAAGGAAGTGTACTACTTGCAAAGGGATAAATAATAATTGCAAGCACACTTTGCAGGCCAGAGTTCCAAGATTTAGCAAACAGGATGGGTACAAAAGTATTAGGAGGATGTATTAGGATGATACAAAAGCAGTCTAAATCTGGGCCACCTGGTCCAAGAGGTGGTGATAGTTGACAGTGCAATTACTCCACTAAATTATAATTTCCTGTTCTGACACATCATATTTGGGCTCCACGGCTTTTCAAATGAAAACATTTTGCTCTACTACAAATTTCTGACGGCTAGCGGTACTAGCTATGTTTCATTTTATATGATAAGCCTATAATATATAGCCACTGTTGGGTTGAACAAGGAAATGGCAAAGTTCTCAATAACTTTTCACAAGTAGAGTTGTGGAAATTATTTTTATTTTCATTATATGAAAGGACAGTATCACAATTGTAATGTGCACACTGCATCCTGGACAGAAACAGTTGCATTTGAAACATCTGCTGCTGCTAAAAGGACATTGACTTTCTGCAGGCATGCTGTAGACTTTGTGTTCATATATAAATTATGAAAGAAAATTAATGTGCCCTCTTTGGGGATTCGTGTCAGTGTTTGTGGGACTGTAGCTTCAGGTTTGTATTGTTGACTGGAATCTACATGAAAAAATGCATCTCAGGCCATGTTATGGAATAACGCAAAAGAGGTTAAATAGTTAGTGTACCTAGTGGCTTTCTTCAGCAAGAGATTAAGTAAGTAATGTGTAATATATTATTTCTGTTGAGCAACAATCCTGACATGAAATATCGCACATGGAAACATCGCAAGCAGCTATTGAATGGATATGCTGTCCATCAGCATTACACTGAAAAGTACATATAACCTGCCAAAAATGGGAAAAACAGTTTTGCATAATTTAAGTGCTTTATCTTGTTTTTTGAGGTACAATCACTCTCGTGCCGATCAAATTTCCATAGGAAATATTAAGTCATGTAAAGGAATATGCATGTTTAACAGTGTGGTTTAAGTAGTAAGAGATAAGCAGGATGAGAGAGCAGAAACTTACTGACATATTAAAAGTGTTTTTATGTGAAGTTACAGAAAAGAAAATGCAGCTAAAAAGTGTTAAATGAACCACTGCAACACAGAACTGCTGCAGCTTCAGGTGTCACTCTTCATGGATTCATTCCGACGGTCTTTCCGAGACTGGATCCGTGCACATTTTGGACACTTTTTCACCACAAAACACTTTTTGTGAAAGCAGGCTTTGCACTCTGTGAAAGACAGAAGATATTCATAGGTTTTATGTATCCTGCATATAAACCCAGTGGCAGCATATTACTTGTTATATTTGTGGGGGGGTTGTCAGAAGAATATTATGAAGTTGTACTAAGTCAATCCTGGTTTTAGTCTATAGAGGAACACAGACTGCATCTCGCTTTGTCTATGCTCACCTGGACAGCGTTTACATATGTCTGTCTGAAAAGGAAAGATGATGTCTTTCTCTCTGCAAAACTCACAGATAAAACCTCGGGCAAGACACAGCTGTGTGAAAGAAGTGAGAGAAGAAAGTCAAAATGATTTAATTTCATACAAACATTCACACGTTTTCCTCCTCTAAACATGTGTTGTATTCCTGGCTGTATTTAACTTAAATATTGTCTGAAATGTTGCGTACTTGTTTAAACGGGCACAAGGATAGGAGTCGTGAAAAGCTATTTCTTTAAGTCATCATTTACATATTAAGTCAGGTGAATGGGCCTGAGATCTACAATCCCTAACTTTAAAATACATTTAAAATTAGAAATGCTTTTAATTTAGGTAAGCGGCAATAATATTTAATTACCAAATGCATATCATCAGCACTGGAAAATAATAACACTGTCCTTAGGTAGAAATGTACTGTCTGTACTTTCTAGCTAATAAATAACATTAAAGAGGCCAGGAGCCATCTGGTTCAGAATGACTGACCTCACAGTTTTCCACATGAGTAATGGCAGACTGCAGCACTGCTTTGGCCTGTGGAACCAGCTGACCCTTCTTCACCTTCTGTAGGTCATCCATGGAGAAGAGGTTTGACTGCTCCCTCAGATGAGCAGGGAGATGCTCCAGCTCAGCCAGCACACTAGGACACAAACACAGGGCAGATTAAGTTACTAAGTAGTTACTAGACCGTGTGTGAACTAGTAAATCTTATACCTAGCATACAGTCACGGCCAAACTCTTTATTTATTTACCATTAAAAGGTTTTTGAAACTTAATAAATCCTTGTAATAGTTCTTTAATATGTGATAGAAACATAAAAAAAATACTCAGCAAATTTAATGAAAAACACATTTTGATCCACTGCCAAACCTGTAAATGAAGTAATGTCTTTATTTTATAAAACAAGGACATGAGCTGTTTATACATACATACAATATATATCAACTTTGTATTATCTCCAAATGTTACCTTTGTGATAATCTGCAGGCTTTTAGCAGCTTCTTGATTCCCAGCAGCTGATCCTGCACCTCCTGATGGGAGGATAGAGGGACATGTTAAAAAGGAATACAAAACTAAATGAAAACAACCTAATAGTTTGTCATTGAATTTCAGTATCGGCTTTGAAATCTAATTCCACAGACTACTTACTAAATACAGTAAAAGAATAAATAAAATGCCAGGATTCTTCCGATGGCTATCGATATGTTTTTAAATGTGAATGATTGCTTTCGGGCATCTATGATCACGGTAAGCACAACAGTAATAATTTAGTCATTAACTCACCCTAAACCTGTCCAGTTCTTTCACTTTACTGTACAGATTTTTACCAACACAGGTCAGGTCAAACAGAGGCTGCTGCCACACTGAATCCAGCAGCTGTTTGGAGAAATCACTCACAGGGTACCTGAAATATCAGGATTATTGTGAGTTATGATGATGTTACAGGGTTTAGAAGTGCACTGCAAGTTATTTAGAATTTACATTTACAAGACATTTAATCATTTCAGTTTTCTATATGAATTAACTATACATTTAACATATGTTAACAGTTACTATAATATGTTGTCTGATTTGATCACCTGCCAAAATCCCAGCAGGACAGTACTCGACCCGGAATCACAGCCTCTGAGCCGCTGTGACAGCAGTCACAGAAATATCTGCAAAAATGAATAACAACAGATCAATGATTCATTTGTAATAACTTCATTATTTAAATATAGATGGTTTAATATCTGATTGCAGGAAAACTTAGCTCATATTTGGGTAATAACATGTTATTTTCCATACCTGCCGAGGTATTCACAGTACCGCAGTTTCTTGATGTACCCTGGTGGGAGACAGAGAGTCTTATATTTGGTTTTGCTGCTTGTTACATTGTGAAGACATGGCTGAGGCCTGTGTTTGGTATTTACTGGTACTCAACCTTGATTACTATAGACAACAATGATTTCAGTGAGGAACAGTTTTTTACATTTATTTATTCCTTTTTAAGAAATGACAAAGTTACATTTCACAGAATGACTGAATACAGTTGTATTAGTGAAGTGCATGACTTATAAATCTCTCTGCTTTTTCGGTAATGGAAGCATTTTCTGACTATAGTTTATTCTCCTGTGGAGGGATTAAAAATGGTTTTATGAATGCGAATGTAATGTTCAGATAAAAACTAAAACAAAAATCCTCTGCAATTCATATTATGTAATGCAGTACTCACTGGGCTCCACCTCGGTCCCACAACCTGCACACAGGAAGTGTTGCGAAGCCACTACTTCGCTTCGTCTGAACAAAGAAAAGAAACCCACACACATTCAGCTCTAAATACACAATCATTTATAGCATCAGAAATAAACCATTTTTCCGCTGCGCTGTTGTGTCATCACATATAAATGAGACCTGTGCGTTGGCTGGACCGTGAAGATGATCTGGAAACGTGGTGGTGCCCAGCTCAGGGATCCTCTCATCCTGGTACGCTGTCGGATCTCTTCTGTCAGGCTATCGCTGCTCACCGCCACATTTTCTGTACCCGGCAGCTGGTATGAACAGGAAGAACAGAGGATACTTGTGGTCATTTCTGGAGTCCAGTCCCAGCAACGTGTTATAAATAAGCGGGAAAGTTTTCTTTGTCATCAGCCACCAATATCTTATTATATATTTATCTTGCATTAAAATACCAAGTTGAGAAAGTGTTATAGTCATAGTTGATTTGTGGTTGCTGTTCTCACCTCCTGAAGCGAGCTGCGAAGGCTTTGCCGGCCACGCTGAAGCTCAGTAGAAGGGAGCCAACTTTTTTTGAAATCCAACACCAGCTGCTGGGCTAGCTGCTCAGCACTGCACCATGGACATCATAGATTTAGTCAGATTTAAAAGAACAAGCGCTTACATTATTAAAATGCATGTTTACTGAAAGGAATAGGTTTTCTTACTTTTTTAGAGACTCTCTCTGAGTTAGTGTATGATCAACTCCACAGTCTGAAACAGAAACACATAATATGATGATTATGTTTATTCTCGTTTAATCCAATATTAAGAAAATAATTTCTATATTTAGTTGATATAATAATGTATATGTGTTGATAAATGTCATAGAAAAAAAACAACGTTTAAAACAATCAGTTCCTGATATAAAGTCAGTGAACACTAGGGGGGAAACAAATACTGTAGGCTTCAAATTTCCAAGCGCAGATAAAATCTAGATACGTTCACAGTAAGAAAGCACTTTCTGCTGATCAAAGCATGTTTATATGAGTTCTTTGTTGCTTTTGACTCAGATGGAAGATTGGTGGAAAGGAACAATCAACCTGTTGATACCATCTTCACAGCATTTAGGCTGTAAGAAATTAGTCATCCTGTAGCTTTTTAGTCTGGCTTTTTGTCTAAAAACATTATCCGGACAAAGTTGGGACAAAGGAAGATGTAGGACGACCCATTCCTGGTCAAAACAATATGTTTGATGAGGAACTATTTAAGGAATGTGTGTTTCATTAAAAATAGAATTTCTTACCTTCGAATCCGCTGTCAGTGGAGAGCACAGACAGAGTTTTCATTTGATGTTTAGGCTCATCCTTCCCTGCTTCCTCCTCCGCTTTGTCCTGTGTTTGCTGCTCTACACATGGGTGTGTTTCTCTGTGTGACATCTTCATGTCTTCATCAAGATGTCTTCGCTTGTATCTCTCTCGTCTAGGATCAACTCTGCTGTACTTTACTTTATGCCTGTGTAATCTAAATGTCTGCTTCTGTGGCGAACTCTCCTGTGCAGAGCTTTTATGTCTTTCCTTGCACATCAGGCAGTTTGTGTCCATCGTGGAACGCCACTGATCTAAGCTAAGAGTCCATTTTGCATTTTCGAGCATCTCCAGCACCATGTCCACCACAATAAAATGAGCGTTTTCCTGCACACAGACAGACACTGGTGAGACGCTGCTGAGAGCATTTGGCACCTGTCTGCTGGCACAAATCTGGCTGTGATTTCACATTTCTATATTTAATGCCAAACACTATAGTAACCCGATTAAAGGCATAAAATGAAGTAATTCATAAGTAATTCAATAAGGTAAAAAAAAAAGAAAAAAAGTTCAGTGTCTTAGATTTACATTTACATGGTCTAATAGTAACAGATGGATAAAGATATGTGTTTATTAATGGCATGCTAAGGAGGATTGTTGATATATAAATGATAAGTTAAGCACTTGCTAATACCTTACTGATGTTTAATAGTGGGACATTATTCTACCACCTTTAATTTCATATATCTGTAGCTTATAATTTGCAGTTGTATGACTCAGCCAATAATTTTTAAAATAAGCAGCTTGTTTTACAATAGAAAAATAAAGGGGTGTGTCATTAGCGTTTTTATATTTACTTTTATTAATTTCATTGCAAAATAAATAAAACTGTGAATGACTGTTGGGGGAAAAATGTAATGTACCTTTTCCAGTTCACAACTGGTCTTGTAGATCTCTGCAGGGGATGCTGGGATATCACTGCTGCTTCTTTCTTTGCTTTGTTGTGTTGAGGTAGCACATCCTGATGAAACACACACACACACATAAATAAACTGACTGGGTTTCTAGCCTTTTTAACATTTATATGTTTTCAGTGTTGCTAACGTCAGGTTCATATTTGCATTCAGTGCACTCAGTGTATCACTGTTACTGTCTGCTCAGTTCTATATTTTTATTCTTGGGCTTTATTGAGAGTATAAACGTGGGTATTCATAAAACACTAAAAAGTTTTCTCAAGATTATGCCAAAGGAAAAGGTGGCAATATAAATGTGTACAAAGGCCTACAGTCAAAGCCTGGAGTAGCTTTACATGTTTCACAGTTCAAAATAATCCCTAGTTATCGTATACGTTTTCCCTGAATCCCTGAGTTTACACTCATGCCTTGAATCCAGCTTCTTTCTGATGTCCTTCTCCTCACAGAACTTTCTCTTATTCTTTTTTTTTACTTTTACACCTTACAAGTACAGTGTGACGTCTGGGTTTTTATGAGTTGTTGCAATCAACTTTTATGTCTCTTAACTTCATCACGCTGAGATTCAGAAGTGTTTGTGGTACATTTGAAAGACGCCATCCTAAATAATCTTTTCCCTTATTAAAGAAAATCTGCAGCTCAAAACCGGGAATGAAATCATAGAGTTAGTGTGTTTTTGGACATGGTTAGTCTCCTTATAGGCACAATAAAACTGCCAGCCACCCTTTACTACTTGACACAGCTGAAAAATACAAAACAAAAATCAGTAAACCCCAGTAATGCTATTTTACCTGGTGTGTTGTTGGGAATGCAACTACTCTGGGTCCGCCTTTTATGCTCCTCAGCTAATCCCTGCTGACCACTGTAGGGAAGGTGGAGGCTGGGAGTCAGAAGCCGTTTCAGATTTGATGAGATAGAGGTAGAGCTTTGCTTTTTAGCCATCTCCACTGCAAATGACAACTGATAGGAGCTCGGTTTGGATTCCAGATCCTCCCCACTGCTGGATGTCGACCACTCCTGGGGACCCAGAGACGGTGAACCAAAGACAGGAGATGGTGGGTCCGAGCTAAAAGCAGAAACATTTCACTTTAGATGGAGAGGTTTCAAAACAATGCAAGTGAAGATCATCCAAGAAATAAACACCAAATTAAATGTTAACCATTAAAAAGCACATATTGTGCATCACCTGACAAGCAGCTGAGTGGCATCAAATGTTTACTCATCACTTTAACAAGTAATTAGTTGTTAGTAGTTAGTGTGAGCAGTGAAAATAGTATGTTCACTGTATTTTCAACAGAAACATGAGGAATATCCTGTTTCTTCTTTTTACTTTGAGGCATAAAACCATAGCTGCAGAAATAAGATAAAGGTCTCTTTATTTACTCATTTCAGTTCCTGTTTGCTCATAGGCTCTTGGCAACCACACAACTTTCATGACATTTACCATAAAGTATCTCAAATGTCAAACACTGTGAGTCCTAAGCAGTAAACACTGGCTCCTGCTGCAATTATTCACAAGAAGTAAAGCTTGTTGTTTACATATACAGCATACTGTGTAGTGTTAACATGAGCTTATTAGTTTTATTGTGTTACTTTACCTCCAGCAGCCAGTTATCCCACAGTAACTGAAGTCTCTAAAGCCTTAGCGCCATCAAGTGGTGCTAGATTAACACTGTGGTAAGCAGACTGTGCTATATTCCTATTCACTATTAGGTATGAGGTGACCACAAAGCAACAACCTAAATGTGGGGCAAAGAGTGTGTGTCTGTGAGACAATGTGGGACAGCTGGTGAAATGCTAAGAGAGGGCCTGCACTTTTCATGTGTGTAATTTAAAAAAATAAACACACAAACTAAAGGACAAAAATACTCATTCATATGAAGGAAATTTTCCCAGCCTGCTCACTGAGGAATGCAAGGTTGTGTTTTTCATGAGGCTTCTTTCGCTTGTCTGTTCCCTTTTTCTATCCCGATAACTAGGAACTGTTGTGCGTACTGAGCAGTCTGGTGACTTTTGGTTTCAGCAGGACGGCATTCACACAGCACCGTGTCTTATTTAGAGCAATACATATTTTGTAAAATTGGCGTGTGCTGTGTTTAGTTCGCGTTACAGCTGGAACTCAGTGAAGCTGCATTTCCTTTTCTCTGAGTTCGACTCCACTAAAAAAGGCAAAGTTGTGACTTTAAGGTTATTTGTTTCTTTTCCCCATTTATTAGCTTAGTGTAGACAGTAAGTGAATCTGCATATTACCTAGATACATATATGGTGAATAATGTCTCCATAGGTCAAAAAACACTTTTTCTTTTACAAAAATGTACTTTTGGTGTAGTTATTAACAGATTCACCTGACATGGAAAAGCTTTGAGACCAGGAGGAAGCAAAAACAAAGATTCAAGGGAGCCCAACTTTGTGTCTTCCTACTGCTTATCACAAATCAAAGGATTACATCAGGAAGGGCCAAATCAAACATGCAGATCCATCCACTGTGGACACCCTGTGGGAAATAAGGGTGCAGCCATATAAACTGAAAACTTAACTCTAACTCTCCTTTAATTAATTTTATAGTTATCAGATCTATACATGACTAATGATGCCTTTTTGTGAAGCATCTTGCAAAACTAACTGAAGTGTCCTAATTTTTTGCTAAAGGATGCATAAAAGTATGCAATATAGACAGTTTAGTGAAGTGTAGAAGAGGCAGAACAGGTTAGTTAGCTGTACCGCTGTGGAGGTTCCAGTGATGCACTATGTTGGACTGGTGCAGGACAGGCTGTGGTGCACATGTTAGGTATTATTTTAATAATTTCTACCTTTGCTACTAGCTTCATATTGTGTAGGACTGGGATGGACCATTAAATTTCCCAAGGGTGGGACTGTTGTGTTGAACTGCATCAAAAAGCTGAACTCAGTTCGGCTCAATATTAATATTATCTCTATAAATGGCCACTGTCTGTTAAGAGTAGATGTTACAATTTGTCAATGCAAATGTGAAATAAGCACATGCCAACATTGTATCACTATAATCAACATTCCCACAAACAATTGTGGACAAAGTGTGTTTTGTAAAATTTCCAGATTTTCTGTTTATAGTTTAATTACATCATTTGCAGTTTTGAAAATGCAAAGGAAAGTCACATCAACAGCAAATGCAAGATTTGCTTTCCATTGTGCATATGAGAGCTCTGGAATGTCCTTGTCACAAAATTTCTGCTCTGTTTTTAGCACTTTGCCTACGCTGAGCCACCTCCCCCATGTGTGGGAACCTATGTCACCATGTTCAGTCTGATGTGCCTACAAAAGTGCAACAAACTGTCGGTGATTCAATGCTCCTGCCCTGATGAAATTGACTATTTTAGTTACAGCATCAGAAACCTGATTCATTTTTAGCACTGACTTACACTGCACGTCCTGCTGTATGATACAGTTCAAAAATACCAGTTCCTGTTTTTGGTTAATTTCATTTTGCATCTGCTTCAAAAGCAGATTTGAACAGCCATAGTTTGTAACATCAGCCTGTTTGTCCCATTGCAGAGCTTGCCTCTCCAATCATGCCTTTCACTCAACACATTCCTGATAGCTCCGCTGTCCACTTTTCAACTGAAAAGCCAGATTTCCTGCAAAGGTGTTGAAAGACTCTTGATCTTGCTTGGAGAGTGGCATATTCTTAATTGCTCCTTTCCTCTCAGGTGCAAAAGAATTCACCAAACATTCACTGATAAACAAACTCCCCATCAGAGTATGAATTACAGTTTTAGCGATTTTGTTGGAAGTAAAAATAAAAAACTGGATGATTAAAGATTGTTAAAGAAAAAAAGAGAAGGGCTTGTTGCTTGTGTAGCTTTGCTAGCAAAGGTTCAGATGTCGAGTTCTTGTATTTCTCAATCCTTAAACATAGTAATCTGCTCCAAAAACCACACACATGGCTTTACCTGTGACTACAGTAAATAAATACTTAGAAGACTGTGTGTTAAAAACTCTGCATCAGGGGGTCTCAAACTTAAATGAGCTGTAGGCCACTGCTGCTACTGTCATTTCATGTGAGGGCCACTGTAGTGTTCAAAAAACAAACAAATAAGAAAACACCCACAAATATTTCTGAAAATCTAGTGTTTTGTTCGTTTTTTTAATAATTTCAAATATTGTATCACAAGACAAAACTACAAACAGGAAGACTTTTTTTGTGACTCTTAAATAACTGAAGCCTTTTATTGAACTACCAAAGAAACAAATCGGTAAACTGTTTCTGACCAGACACGTGGCAGCACTTCAGCTATGATAAGAATGCAGACATAAGTGTACACATGAGTTTTTGACTGCTAGTGAAAACTGTCTTCTTCACAAATAACTCTCACTAAACTCAATCCCTCAACATGTTTTTACTCTCTGTTCATATTGCCTTCATATTAAATAGCTTTTTGCTTTTTAAAGGACTTATTTTAACATTGCAGTCAACAACAAACTAATCTTCCCTAAAAAAAAAGGTAACTTCAAGAGCCAAATTGTATTATATTTCTTCACGTCAATATACAGGCCTCAAGTAGGTGTGACGTGGGCCACAAGTGGCCTCTAGGCCGCAAGTTTCAGACCCCTGCTCTATATTCTGCATCAGTCTTTCTGACATATTTCAGGGCCAGCAAACTTGAAGTGGCATTTACTTGCAGACATAAATGCATGTTTTGTTTTGTTTTGTTTTTTCATATCATCTTCACAGCAAAAGAAACTAAGTTCTATTGTGATTTCCCACAAAATGTAAGGACTGTTTGCTGGCTGAAATGGGGCAAACTGGGTGTATATCTATCTATATTATGCTTAAATCCCAATTTCCAATTGGCCTCACACTGGCAGGGGCAACCAAATGGGCCAGGTGGAGCCCGGGGCCATACCATACTCTGGGCTGATCTAGAGGTCTGGAAATCAGCCTTTTAGCTCTCTGCTTATGTCTTATTTAAACTGAGTTAGCCCAAAGCACAGAAAATATCAGAATAACAGCACAGCACCACTACACCCAATTATAGGGTTCCCCCACCAGCCGAATCCCATTTTAACTCCTGGTCCTAAGTATCTGAATAATACAAGTGTTAACATGTTTTATGCCACCTACAGTTTACCTGTGCGTACTGAACTGTCGCAGTAAAATCATGTAGCATGCAGCTTTGTTCAAGTGGACAAAGTTGTTGCTTTGTGTGGATTCCAAACAGCTAATGATAAAAGTCATTCATGAACTGTAGCACTCAAGAGAAAAGACTGAATGACTCATGCACAACTCTTACTTCAAGTTTGATACGATAGTTACTGGTTTGCCCATCATCACAGCTTACAGCTTATTTTAGAAAAGCATCACCTAAAAAAGCACCTTTAGAAACGTAATATAATCGTTTAGGCTTTGTCTTTTTTTACCCATGAAACCCTTCCCTGGTTTCTTCACCCCCAATGAATAACAACAAGACTTTAGAAAAGTATCTATCTTGCAGTGTTGCCCTTTAAAAGTTAGAGTCACTCAGAATGTGGGAGACAGTTTCAATATGTTTGAGGAGGCATTGTTTTTTTAAAAGCACACTGCACTCTGATCGCTCTACACACTGCTCAGCCACAACAGATGCTTTAGCTGATAGGTGTATCTCACCGCACTTTGTTATTATTTCTTATATAATTAGTCGTATATTCCATCTATGACACATGTAGATCTGTGTTTCTTGGTCATTTTTTATTTGTTATGCAATCATTTGTAATAATGATATTGCTGAAATGTTTTGTAATGCTTTGAACATATATAGTGGTTACCTGGGACTAGATGTATCATTTACTCCTCCGTGCCAGGAGATGGGCCTGCTGCGTCTGGAAATGACCGGACTGCTCCGGGGAAGGTGGAATTTTTTATCCTCTGGATCCAAAAGAGAAAGTTCCTCTTTGCTCTGGATGTCAGTATCTGTCAATACTATGTTGCCTTTCTTACACTCATCACTCAAACCCTCACTGCTGTGGCTGAGTCTGTCTGACTTGGAGTCAAGGAAAGATTTAAAATTGAGGCAATTGACTTTTGTCTGCTGGTGGTGATGGGAAGATGATGAATTTGCTTCTGCTCTGTCAGTTTCTGGTGGTGACAGAAGGAGAAGTGGGTTAGAATCCATAGCAGCTGACTGTTGTGTTTGGTAGCAAAGCAAAACAAGGGAGACAGCAAAGAAAAAGTTAGGCCTGATCAATATGTATTCCAAAGGCATTCTTCGTTTTAATTGCACGTAGATTTTTGGAGCTGGAACCAGAAACAGAGACTGTTCTGGAAAAGATATGTCCAGATAATTTCAAGCTAAAAGCCTAGAAGTTTTAAACTAAAGCTTTGCGATAAATGTTTCAGTAACTCTCTGGTGTTTCCTGTGTGGTGGCGGTCATACGTCTTTCAAGATGCCTAGAACAGAAGGTTTACAAATATGTGCTGGATCTTACCTGTAGATGCCATTGCAGGGCTTTTTGACTCCACTATGTCCACATACCAGCTGACATACTTGGAACTATACAGAGAGGAGGACATGGTGCTGTGGCTTCCCATCTGTGCAGAAAAAGAGAGGCATTGTTTCTCAATTACTTTGAAGCAAACTTCCTGCTGCTTTCAGAGCAGAGGCAACACAAGTACCAGTTGTGTTATTGACTAATGGTTGTACAAGATCAGAAAGTATTAAATGTTCTGTAATATTGTGTAAGTTATTAAGCTGCTGAAAATGTTGGGAAGGTTTATTAGTTCTGCCACAATTTGGAACTGATGAGAATAAAAATAAGTAAATAAATATACATATTCATTAGGCAAGGATATGCAAGATTGTAACCTAAATCTTTATCATAATGCAAATTTTAAAGTGTGAAGGTATCTCAGGGGAGAGTTAAAGATTTTTCAAATTTAAAACAATTACAAATACACTGTCATCCGAACTCCCAGTGTGGAGCAATGCATGCATTTCCCAGGAAATGTGGCATCATAGACTTTTTACTTGTGCAAGTCACAACTGCACAGAGTGTGTAGCTGAATTATTTCATTAGCTCAAAGTAGAGCAACTGTTTGTCTGTGCCATCAACTTCTCTGGATGTTCTCAATTCTTTCAACTGGCAAGTTATAAATATTACTACATCCACAGATGCTGATAACTGTTTGCAAAGGGGAGGTTGGCAAGATGGCGTCGTAGCGCGAACACCCGTCTCACTGTGCTCCGGTGAGGTCCCCCGATTATCCGTCTAAAATACGTGTTCACCTGGTGAAACGTTACAAATGTGCGTGGGAGTAACTCTATAATGAGTCTGGACGACTATTTTTCTAAAATGCCTAACGTCAGGTCTAAGAAAAAGACAGCTCCGGTTGTGCAAGCTAGCGACATTGTGGGTCCTATGGCGGCTGAGCCTGAAGAAGCTAACGCCAGCGACACAGAAATCTCCGCTGACGCTGAGGAAACTGGGAGTGATATCGACCCGAATATCCTTGCGGCTCTGAGTAAGATAACTGACAGCATTACAACTTTATTGGATGTTAAAGTTGATACTGTGCTGGCCGCAATCCGTGAACAGACGTCTCGGATCCAGGCTCTGGCGACACGGGTGGGAGACGCCGAGATACGGATTTCAGGCGTGGAAGACACGGCAGGTGTATTGCAGGCGAAAGTGGCTCGACTCGAAAAACAAGTAACTGACATGGCAGACCACATGGACGATTTAGAGAACCGCAGCCGCAGATGTAACCTTCGCCTGGTCGGGCTTCCCGAGGGCACGGAGGGAAATGACGTTGTCGCCTTCATGGAGTCATGGCTCCCCTCCTATCTCGAGCTCACAACTAAAAATGGGAAGATCAAACTAGACCGCGCTCACCGCTCTCTAGCACCGAGGCCGGGCCCCAGCCAGCGCGCCAGACCCATCATTATGAAGCTTCACAACTTTGCTGATAAACAACGTGTGATGGCCGCAGCTCGGCGCCTGGCTACGCAGCCGAACCAACCAACAAGTCGGATCAAAGTCTCCTTCTTTAATGATTATTCAGCGGCGGTAGTCAAGAAACGCAAGGCTTTCAACGAGGTGAAAAGCTGCCTGAGGAAGAAGAATGTGGATTATGCGCTTCTCTACCCCGCCACACTGAGGCTGTTTGCCAACGGCAAGGAGAAGAGATTTAACACACCGGAGGCAGCTGCGTCCTACGCGGACTTGCTGCCCTGAATCCCCGTAACCACCGGAGTACTCCTTTTCTTCACACTATGCCTTAATTAACCGGTGTGAGTACTTGCCGAATCTAGGTGTATATGACTCTTTTTTTTCGTCCTCGCTGCTTATAAGCGACCAGGTGAAATCTTCCACCCCATCGGGCACCGGACGGACTGTGTTTTCGTCTATGGGTAGGCGTGAGTTACGCGCGTGCAATGCCCTTCGGCTTTCCCGACGGGCAGGAGGAGATTGGTTTTTCCCTACATGTTTAGTAGGGCTGTTGCCAAATCACTGTTCTTTGAATGTTCCGTCACACAGCTCTTTCATGCCTTTTTTATTTTTATTTTATTTATTTATTTTTTCAACCAGGGTGTGGTGAACCCTTTGGCTCAATATGCTTTGTGTGATACATGAATAAGTCTAATAATGAGTAGGCTGCGAATATGCACCTGGAATGTACGAGGGGTTCACAGCCCTATTAAGAGGAGGAAGATATTTACTTGTCTAAGAAAGGACGGTGTAGATGTTGCTATGTTACAAGAGACACATCTTGATAATAATGAACACTTGAAGTTGCAACAAGGATTATATGGACAAGTGTTTTTTTCATCCTTCACTACAAGAAGTAGAGGAGTGGCAGTGTTGATTAGGAAAAATGTACCTTTTGTAGTAACTGATTGCGTTAAGGATCTGAAGGGCCGCTACGTGATAGTCAAAGGGATTTTGCAAGGCCAAAATATCTTATTACTGAATGTTTATTTTCCACCTGCCCACCCAACTACCTTTCTTACCAAAATGTTTCTGGAATTAGCCCCATTTCTTCCTAACTCTACCGTTATTATTGGTGGTGATTTCAACTTAATGTTAAATCCGCTTATGGACAGATTTCCACACAGCATTGCAACTCCTTCTCCTCAGGCCAAAGCGCTTCATGCTCTATGCGACGAGTTTGGACTTGTGGATGCTTGGAGATATACTCACCCCTCCGATAAGCAATACACATTTTTTTCGGCTCCGCATAGGTCCCAAACTAGAATTGATTACTTTTTTCTCCCGAAAACTGACTTAGGTTCAGTAGTATCGTGCGACATAACAAGTATAATCATCTCAGATCACGCTAGGGTAATCATGGATCTCGATCTTAAAGCTGCGCTTCATAGGTCCCGCCACTGGAGGCTTAATACCATTATTCTTAAGGATGAGGAATTTACCTCTCACTTCTCTGCAGAATTTAAAGCGTTTTTGGATATCAACACCCCCTCAGCTAGGGTTAGGGTTAGGGCCTCTGTTTTGTGGGAAACATGCAAAGCTTATGCGAGGGGCCTAATTATTTCGTATTCTGCGACAAAGAAGCGACAACGGATGGAGGAACAAAAATCTTTAGAGAGCGAATTGATGGATAAGGAGAAAACATATATTGCCTCCCCATCACCACCATTATGGCAAGAAATAACCGCACTCAGGTCAGCGCTGAATTGCCTTCTTACCAGAGATGCAGAGAAGAAACTTAAATACACCAGACAGAGGTTCTACGAGCATGGAGATAAGGCCGGTAAATGTCTGGCGTACTATGTTAAGAAGCGCGCAGAATCGAATACCATTGCAGCGATATCTGATGAAGGTGGCCACAAGATATATGAAAACAAACTGATAAATGACTGTGTTAAGAAGTTCTACGAAGCCTTGTACTCTTCTCAACAAGTCCCGGAGGGGGTGCAGCTGATGCATAATTTCTTCACCCAATTCGACTTACCAAATTTGTCAGAGGAACAGAAGACTGCCCTTAACAGCCCTATAACTAAGACCGAAGTGTTTAAGGCTATTAAATCACTGCGAAGTGGAAAGTCACCAGGGCCTGATGGCTTCTGTTGTGAATTTTATAAACAGTTTCGGGATATTATTGTGGAACCGCTTCTTGATATGTTCAACCACTCCTTCATTACGGGTGAATTCCCGCAGACACTGAAGGAAGCCAACATTTCCCTAATTCTAAAGAAAGGGAAGTGTCCTGATTTGTGCGGATCCTATAGACCTATAGCCCTCTTGAATGTAGATAGGAAACTGCTTTCTAAAATTCTGGCCACCCGCTTAGAAACTTTTTTACCTGTGCTGATAAGGGAGGACCAGACAGGCTTTATAAAGGGTCGAAACTCAGCCACCAATGTTAGACGCTTACTGAACGCTATTGTAGCTTTCAAGCAAAAATCTATTGACGGCCTGGTGCTTTCTCTCGATGCGGAGAAAGCATTTGACAGAATTGAGTGGTCTTATTTGTTGTATACTCTGGGCAAATTCGGCTTAGGGGAGAATTTTATAAAATGGGTCAAAGTTATCTACAATAATCCACAGGCAGCAGTCCTGACTAATGGACTTAGGTCTGATTACTTCAACACTCATAGGGGAGTTATGCAGGGCTGCCCCTTATCGCCCCTTCTATTCGCTCTGGCCATAGAGCCTCTTGCTGAGGCCATAAGGGCGACGCCCACAATACGTAGTTTAGAGATTGGACAGCTGTGTCATAAAATAACCTTATACGCGGACGACATCTTGATTCTTTTGACTAACCCTGTAACATCCGTACCCAGTCTCATTGAGGTGATTGACAGGTTTAGCCATTTCTCTGGCTATAGAATCAATTTGGCTAAGTCAGAGGCCATGCCTCTTGGTACTCTTTTCACAATGCCGGCTACTGTTCCTTCCTTTCCTTTTAAATGGTCTCCTAATGGATTTGTGTATTTGGGGATCTTTATTACCCCGTCTCTCGACCAATTGTACAAAGCCAACTTCACACCCTTATTTGGCAAACTCAAACAGGACCTAGTGCGGTGGGCGTCACTTCCTGTCTCCTGGCTAGGACGCATTGCCCTGATCAAAATGAATGTGCTGCCCAGGCTATTGTATCCTATCCAAATGATCCCCGTCTTGTTCTCTAAGAGAGTACTGAAGGACATAAATGGTTGGCTCACCTCTTTCATCTGGAACAAGCGCAGACCCAGACTCAAGATGGCAGTGTTGCATCTGCCAAGCTCCAGGGGCGGCTTGGATCTACCTAATATTAGATTGTATCAGCTTTCTGCCCATTTAAGATTTGTGAGCGACTGGGTTAGGGGTAAAACCTCAATCTGGTCGGATATTGAGACAGCTCTGTCACAATGCAAACTGAGCGATCTATTATTTTGTAATGATTTTAACGGAATTAAGGCCCTTTGTACAAATCCTGTAACAATCAACACCCTAAAAGCGTGGCGAATTGTCCGCCGTCTTGAGGGAAGATCGAGAATAACATCAACCTTTACCCCTATAATGAATAACCCTGCTTTCCCTCCGGGTTCTTTGGACCCCGGCTTTCAACGATGGTCTGATAAGAATATTAAGTCTCTTGGTGACCTTTTCTCGGGTGGTGAACTCATGTCGTTTGAACAGCTTACCAACAGTTACGGCTTGCCTAGACAGGATTTCTTTCGTTTTTTGCAAATACGACACTATATCACTCACAATACAACCCTTGCTGAGCACCCTGAAGTATCTGATGTTGAGAGGGTTTTGTTTGGGCAACAGCTGACGGTGTCTCTGAGTTCATTTTACCATGTGCTTAATGCTTTGACTACCACTGATGCGCAGGGGATTAGAGGTGTGTGGGAGAGGGAACTGTCGGTAACCATAGATGAAGATAAGTGGGATACCGTTTGGTCTCTCGCAAAAAGGATTTCAATTTGTACTCGGACAAGAGCAATCCAATTTAAGATTTTACACAGATTACACGTATCCCCTCACCGCAGACACCTCTTCAGCCGCTCTCTTTCCCCTGTGTGTCTTAAGTGCAAAACTGATGTAGGGACTTTAACTCACTGTTTTTGGTCCTGTTATAAGCTTCAAGAATACTGGGCTGACATTACAGGTGAACTGGGGAAAATCTTCCACGTTGATATAGAGATGGACCCTTTGTCCCTGATTCTAGCGGACCTTTCCGCTATCTTATTCAAAGGACTACTACACACGTGATCACCACCCGGGCGCTGTAAGACTGACTCACCACCTCTTGTATGTTATATTTTGTATTTTGTATCTTGTATTATGCCTTATTTAAGAGCTGTTGTGTACGTTTTGTGTTTGTACTGTTTTGTTGTTCTGTGTCTACTGTCGAGACACTGTCGTGTTAAAGGAAAATCTGCAATAAAAACAATGATGAAAAAAAAAAAACTGTTTGCAAAGGGGATTTAAGCATTTATGTAAAGAGTTAACAGAGTTAAGTGATGCATGTGTTTATATACACTATTCTTAATGACTTGTTTTGCTGCACAACTACTATAATGAAGAAGATCCTTGTAAAAAATAATATGTTTTTAAAAGTTCATGCCAGCCTTATGAATTCAAATGGAGGAATTCAGTGTATTAAAAACATAAAACATCATACTAAAATAATGAGAATAGCAGAGTATTTATGTATAACCATCGTTCAGAGGTATTTGGGTGTTTTTATAATGATAGTTTCTAAAACTGAACCAGAACATGGGTGTCTTTTAGGTTACAGCAGATGGGGCTGAACATCAATCGTTCATTTCAGTTGCTTTCAAAGACCTCACAAACTCTCCTGGAAAACAGCTACTGTGGCCAATACTTCATAAAAGCTAATACATGCTAGCAAAGTCTTTAGTTCATCTAGAATTAGAACAGTCTCAGCCGAGAAACTCCAACAACCATGTGCAGAAAGATCTAAGATCTAAGCTTTCATGCTTTGTGAAATAACCCAGCCTGTGCAGTGTGGGTGTGACTCTGATAAAAAAATGGGTGTTGGAGACATCACTCTGTGAGAATTAGCACTATCCTGTACGCAAGACAAACCATTAGAACTACGAAGCATATCAGTCTACATAAAGGTTATTGTAAAGACCTGACAGTGAAAGGTAACACTGAGAAACTTGTTAAATTAATGACATTTAAAAAATTATTTTATTGTTTGAACTCAAATTTTTAAAAAAAACTCGAACGCTTATAAAGCCAACTAAAACAAAATAAAAATACCCAGGACATGTCTTTAGTTTCAGCTGCTGTCAATACAACCAGATAACTACAACTTACAACTTAACTTTTTTTTTTACATGACTTACACGTAGTCAGTTCTGCCTAACATAATGCAGAGGTTAGTTGGTGATTTAAAAAGATAAGAACTTTCCTGACATCACTGTAGCTTATTGGTCCTGAGTTTAGGGCACCCTGATGGCCAACTTCTGCTTTTTTACTTTTTTTTTTACTTCTACCTGGGAATAAATGACAAGGCCTGCTAGAGGGGGATTTTAGGCTAAAACATGATCCATGACGATCAAATTGAGGTGTCACAAGTGGTTACTGGTTACATTGGTACTGAAGTGTTGTGAACCGAATGTCACCGTCTTTGAATCTGAATAAAGCTGGAATGTTTAATCAAAGATGAGAAATCAGCGTAAAACACAAAAGAACTAAATTAAATGAGAAAATGTAGCACTGAACAGCCTTCAACGTCATTAACAGACCTCACATCCAACTAAAACTACAGTTATTTTATAGTCCACCCTCTGTATCCTCATAACACACATATACAACAAAATGTATCCCCAAACAAATCTAAGAAGTGGATTTCAAAGATTTGAGATTTTAAAAAAAAGGAAGAAAACAGCCAAAGATATTTCAGTGCAAATACAAATGTATTACTCTCAAAGCGACACAGAAAGCAGTTTCTACATGAGCCCTGCTGATTAATCTCTCTTATATATCGCTCATATATCTTCAAGGAGCTGCTTCGCTTTAATCAGCAAACAGAGCTTCCTGTATGAATGCAGAAGTAGTTTCTAATTGTAAGTGATAATGTCTAAAATATTTCCCTTTTTTGTTTCAGTCAAAGTAAAAAGCAACACGTTGGAAGCAGAGAGAGGGGGGAAGGCAGACAGCAGAAGCAGCACTGACCAGAACACAAAGCTCAGGCTACTCACCAGTTAGTGACTCGAAGAGGAAACCTGTCAGTCTGGTGAAGGGAAGACTAATGCGAGTCTTCAAAAAGCTGCGGCAGCTGGAGAGAAAGGAAGAGGGCTGGTTGGTTTTCAGCACTTCCTGTATTTAAATCAGGTTTGTATTTTCTGTGTCTCAGCAGTCAGTGCTGGGCTTTTTTTCCACTAAGAACAGAGACACCAAGAAGCTCTCAGTACACCGCACAGCACCTTACCACAAAATTACCCTAAATATGTAATCTGCCACTTAAAAAAACACAGGCTTCTGACTTTTTCTCAACTATTTAATAACAGGGAGTTGATTCAGTATGTATTAAGTCATGCTTTTATTTTAGGAGCGTTCATAATACATAACACATAACATATAATTAAAATATTTCTTGTTTCTTTCATTCTAAAGAATGAAGGAACATTTAATGAAATAGAATCAGATCGATTATAGGAGCAAAAGTGTTTCCTTAAACCCATTGCAGGTCTTAAATGTTGTGTTCAAAGGTTCCTCAATTTAAACACCGTCACAGACGCGAGTGCAAAGGTTTCGTTCAGCAGCATATCTTACGTGACATTTCTCAGTGCTCAGCAAAGGCTGGCATGTTAGCTGGCAGTTGGCAGAGGTGAAAGAGGAAGTTCTAGTACAGAGACAAGTATCAATGGCCGAGGGTGTTGTTGAGACGTGATCAGATTGAGACACTTACCTCCAGTCTTTACCTCCAGGTGGCAGCATTTCAGAGCCCAGACATAGCTCAACGTCAGTTGACATTCGGTTGATATTTCAGAACAATTGGTATTTCAGATATAAAGGATGCAACCAGGAATTGTCTGTCTGTCTGTGACAGACAAGCGAACCTGTCTGTGTTCACTTCATATACTGCATTTCCATGGAGGTTTGCATGTTTCAGTAAACTGCTGCAACATTTCCTATTTTCCAAGCAACATGAGAGATAGCATAGAACTTTTGCACAGTACTTTAGACACGGTCAAGTCGACTGGTGAAATTCAAACCAGGTTCTGAAGGGGGGAAGTGATTTAAATGTTTTCGTGATGCTCAGGACTTTTTCAGTTAATTTTTAACTGCTGTAACAAAGAGACCTTACAACTCTGGGATGAATAAAATATATTTCAACTTTGCCATGTCTTCTCTTTAAGGGGTAACTTGATCCAGTAGACAAAGCAAGACGAGTCATCTGAGAAAACTCTTATAAGTCTGATTTTAAACTACAAGTCTAAATGTAATGATTCAGTAAATGTTGTAAGTAAATATGGCTGTTTTTATTAGTGATTATGAAATAAACATTACAACTCATTTGTTTGCTTTAATAAAAGATAAAGATAGATGACTGAGTCTTTTTGGGAAAGAAACACCGAAATCTTAAACCGCAGCACTTCATTCTTTCAAGCATGAACATCCAGAGATGATTTGAATTTCACTTTAAGTGTATACTATTGCATATTTGGTGTACTTCCTCATTTTTTAGCTGGTGAACATGAATACCAGACTTTGTAGTCAACAACAACAACAACAACATATGTTTTGATAATGCCATTCAAAATGCCATAGAAAGTAGGGACTTGGTCTGGAGTCAGTGTCATCTATTCCTCTGTTATTTCGTGGCTTAATCAGATCTCTTTCATTGTTATGAAGACCACATAATTGACTTACAGTGAGCTCAACTTTTTTGTAACATAGTCACTATTTTGGGGATAAAAAAAAAAGTGCTTAAAAAGGAAACACGAGCTACACATTTCCTGAAACACACATTTTTACATCCTGGTACCTCATTGACATGACATCACTTTATGTCAGAAAATTGTGATATCAGAAAGAAAAGAAAGCTCTAACTGGTAAAAACGTTTTTTGTGAGAAATATTTGAGTCGCTTCTTAAACTTCTTCCTTCCACTGCCTCGTGTTACTCCCCTCTTCTCTGCTTTGACTTTTATGAAGATAAAAAAGGACATATGTAATTATACCCATGTGGAAAATAAATAGTAAAAACTTATAAAAGACTTGCATAAGATGTGGCCTACTTCATACAGTGAATCATAGAAGGCTTATATGATTTACTCATGAAAGTGGCCACTTTCTCATTACTTTCATATATTGTTTTAGTAAGTATCCAAAACATCCAAGTTTCATTTATATAATTTTTCAAGGGCTCTTATATCTGTTTTCAGTCCTGTATGCTTTTCACACAAGTTTCACACAAGACAGATACAAACTTTATAAGATTTATATATATCTTTTCCATATGGTTAAACTGTGCATGCAAAAAGCAAACTGGCTAAAAATTTGCAATAATTATTGAGTTTGAGTTAATCTGTAAGATGTGTTGTGTGTTAGGTTAGCAAAGGTCCTCACAAGTATGTAAGTATGAACAAGTGATGGTGCTCAGTGTAATCAGGGGTCAGCACTGTGCATCATCTGCTGATGCAAGCTCGTTATGTAATGAGCTGACTCAGCACTTCCTTCTGATTCCCGGTGGGACTCTCTCATTATCACTCATGCACACACACACACACACACACACACACACACACACACACACACACACACACACACACAAGCTTCATGTACACAGGATGGTTGTAAATAAGGGTTTTTGGCCTGCAGCACGAATCAGTTTCCTCTCATAGAGCTGCTTTCCGGTGCTTTAATCTCAAACAATAAAATTTGATCAAATGTATATTTATGGTTCATTTATTGTTCATTTGGAACTGGTGACATTACTGCTCATAAACTGCAGCAGTGGTGTTGCAGATAGTGTAAATATGACATTAAAAATGAAGAAAAAATTGTGAAGGTTTGTACCAATTGTTAAATCTAAAACTTACACAGAGAGAACTTACATTACAAGAGAACTGTAGTTACAATCTTCTATACACTTTTCACTGCATTGTTAGTAGTTACTTATTCTTATATCCTTGCTAAAGGTAACTGGTGTGACCTGGATATCTTGGTCTCAGCAGCCACTTTAGTCAAAAGGAAACCACCATAACTTAAGCACAGGCCTAACTGCAAAATAGGACACCCAGCCCTTTAGTCTTTAAACCTTGTGTTTTAAAGCAAAATGAAAATTTCTGAGATAACTAACTATAACAGATATAACAGAGATTAAACTCTATGAGAAAGCTTCAGTGCGCGAAATGTGTTGTTTGTCGCTTTTGTCCAGCAGAGGTCACTGTTCATTAAATTTCAGCCCCACTTTCATTTTCACTGCCTTTCACGGGCCGCAAAAGGCTAGTGCGCAGCCGCACTGAGTGAAAAAAAAGAAAGAAGAAATGCGGCGTGAGACCGGAAACACTGTTTTCAAAATAAAAATCGTAGCGCAGTAGAATATCGTCAGTCATCTTTATATAATAGATTATAAGAACAGAGTTGAGGCCACATAACCACTTACACAATTGCATTAACAGTGCTTTACTTATACATTTGCAATCATGGTATATTAATTCCCCCTCGTATCTGGATTTATAACCACATTTCAATGGTAAGACCTTTACATTTGTGTCTGAAATATTTAATTTGAAATTTAAAAAATGAATATCCAAATTATACCCGAAACGGCTTCGTATTTATTATTTCATTCCACCGTAACATTGGCCTGGTCGGTGTACAATTTTGAAATTTGTTCCCCGGATGTCGCACCGTCCAACTGAGACGCTTGACGACACGCGCAGACCTCCAAGCAGACGCGGCGGCGACAATCACGAACTCAGAACGCGCGGCACGGCCACGGACGTCTGTGAAGTCAGTGTCCCGCTGTTTACCTGAACGTAGCCAACCCCGCGCGCTCTCTCGGACATAACCGATACACGGACACGCGCAGCGGAGAGGCGGAAAATTATGGCGACGTTGGGACCGGAGTCGGCTCGCCCCCCTCTGGGTTCTTCTCCGTTAGTCCAGGCTCACATCGGCAGCGCCAACCTGCCTCCCAACCGGGGCTTGGAGCGGGCGCTGGAGGAGGCGGCGGCCAGCGGCGTCCTCAACCTCAGCTGCCGAAAACTGAAGGAGTTTCCCCGGACAGCAGCCAACCACGACCTGTCGGACACGGTGGAAGCAGGTAGGTTGTTCTTTGGTGTATTGCACTCCCCCAACAGCCCATCCCGGTTAGCTTTTAAGAAGGGGGGGCACACCGGTGCTGGGCGGTAACTGCTCCCCGCTATAAACGCGTCACGGCGGCGTGGAGACTCCTTTAAGTAACCGCTGGACGTTATTTACAACATTGGCATTTCCGTTATCCACGAGGACTAACTGAGCGTTTGCTCACGAAGCTGCACGGGTGGTGTGCCGAGCCCTCAGCCCTGATGGTGTTTGCAAGTTGGAACTTTGGCTTCACCTGAACCGGATGCACAGTTGACTTTAACCCCTCCACTGAGTTGTGTTTAGCCTCCTGACTGGCCTCATTGTGACCTGAGATTTGTTCATTATTGAGAGAACAGTCATAGGAAAAGTTTCAAGTTTCCAAATGACTGAAGCCCTGTGTTTATGGAGGGCTATAGTGAAAGTGGGCACTGGAGCATTTATCACTGATCCGACTGTTCAGTGGAAATCCCCACTACTTCCTTTTAATCCATTACAAGATGTAAACAGGCATGGAGAGTTGGCTGAACCCCGACACACTCAGTCTGTGCTGTTTTAGGCACAACATAGCTATTTTCTTTCCAACCCAATCCCCTATCACGTTAATTACCAGAACACAAAAGGTTATGTGTGTGAAGTTTTCTAACATAAAGGTAAACAATAAAAAAAAGATGTATTTTTGCGCTGTAAAAGCTGAAGGAAAGGGTCTTTAAGAAAAGCAGATGTTGTTTTATATGAGGGTTCTTTGTTACAAAGAAGGCTTGATATAGGAGTCATGAGTTTAAATGTGTTTGCGCTCTAACAGACCAGTTACCTATCCATGTCATAGACTGTAGGTAAAAGATGGATGTAGCCACCATGCAACCCTCAGTTGCTTACTGAAGACTGATTATGAAGTCCTGAGCTGAGTTTTTTGTTATTGTTGTCATGTTTTGATACTAGACAAGGACAAAGGGGTGGAGCTGACTGTGAAAGAACTATGCATACACCTAGGGTGATGTCTTGTGATTCATAAATAACTAGCTAATTAGCATACCCTAAATCAGGGGTGTCAAACTCAAATACACAGTGGGCCAAAATTCAAAACTGGAACAATGTTGCGGGCTAACATTAATATTTATTGAAAAAAAAAAAAATTTATTGAAAAAAAAATCTTCCTCCAGATATAAGAATGAATCTTTTCTTATGGACTCAAACAAGTTTTGCTGAAAAACTGAATATGGAACAAGCAAGGCTTAATACTAAACGATATATATATTAGCTGTGTAATATCAGTAGGCCAGCTCTAATAATAATTTGGTATGGCTTCGCGGGCCAAATGTAATTACACTGCAGGCCAAATGTGGCCCACGGGCCAGAGTTTGACACCTATGCCCTAAATAATCCTGATTTATGACTCTAAAAATGATAATAATTTGGATTTAAACTTGAACTTTATTCAGTATGATCCAAAATCAACAACCAAGCCCATAAACTCATCAGGAAAGTGTTTACTCTGGTCAGAGAATAAAGGAGTCGAGGGCAATTTTAATGAACTTCTGTACAACATATGTACATATATGTAATAGCTTCCTGTCTGTGTGCTGGTAAGGCTTAAATTTGGCTCTGTGGCTGCATTAAAGGACAATAATATGACTTGCTAAGTGAAACAGGCTTTTCAGAAGTTTGTGCCTCAGTCTTTGTGAATAAAATTATAGTGTGGGTTTAATATGTTATGTAGAACTAACTAGCAGTGTTCTGTATCTTTGCAATATATGTGTACAGGCTATAGAAGCAGTTAGCTTATGAAGTAGCGCTCCACTCTCTTTTTCATATGTGATCACTTAGGACTTAAAAATAAATAAATAACATGGTAGCAGCCAAAATGCTAACATTGAGCTTTCAGTGTAAGGTCCTAAACCAATGGCTGATGGCTGCTGGTGGCTGCATCCGTCTTCTAAATACAGTCTATGATCTTGGTGTATAGGGCTTTGGAGTTGACGTCACGCCGCAGTGCATTGTGGGATTGCGGCGCCATGTCAGAAGGCCACAAATCAAAACAAACACACTGTGTTGGAAGCGGGACTGCCAGAACCTTGCTTAAAATCAACGCAAAAGACAAAGGGCTGTATCGTGACCGTTGCGCCCAGACGCCAAGAGATGGTACTTGGAAAAAATAGCGTGTGGACCCGTATGAAATAAGGCAGTGGAGTGGAAACCCAGACAGCCTACCGCCGTTGTCCTATCCCGATATCTTCGCTTACCCTGTCTGTGGAGTCAGCGCATACACGGCCAATCTTTTTTGGAATTATAAATTCCTGGAGACACACATCTAGTTCTAGTTGGGTACAAGATTTGGCCGTTTTTAAGCCTCCACATTGTGAGTACGTTGACCATATGACCAAGATACAGCCAGCTTGCCAGCTGTGCGTTGCCATGTAAATACATGTGTATGTACTTGCTAATTACAGGTGAACAGATCTTGAATAAAAAAAATAAACATACTTTTCTTTTCTGTTTCATATTTCATATGCCTGCAATAATGCCAAATAACTCCGTCAACATGACGTGATTCTATAGCATCACACATTACGATGTTTTATCTAATTATCTATGACCTCAGCGCATTCGAAATACACTAAAAGCCTATTAAGAGAGATATGAATTTATTTAGGACTCACCGGAAAGAAAATGCTGCGAGCAAACCAACAAAAAATTGGGGATGGCAGAGAACTCGATATCCGCTCATCTGACCGCTGCAATCCAAGCCTGACATCTTCGTTTAGTAATATCGGATACATGAAATCCCTCCCCTTGCCTCCAGGAGGGGAAACGATTAAAAGTGAGCCCGTTTTCCAGCTTCTTGCCTTCCCTATCGTGTGATCTAACGTTGCAACCGACAACGCAGCACGTACGAACCATAGCTGACGCTTCCGTGTACTTTCTTTGGCCTACTGTCATGGTGGGAGGGGGCGTGGCCCAGCTCCCGTGACATCACGCTCCAAAGCCCTATATTGTGAGTCTTGATAAGTATGGCCAGAAGCAGGACTACCTTTATCCATACTGGGGTTCATGATTGGCATTTTCTTATTGATACATACCAGGTCAAACGGAGTATAGGATATAAGGTGCAGGTCTCTGTGGTTATCAAACAGTCAAGTTTTCATCACTGACCTACTGCCCTGATCCACATAAGTTTTCAGTGTTCGCTCTGACATCATGTGGATTCATAAGGTTAGATTTGGGGGCATGCTGGTTAAGCTGATTTGCTGTACTGTGCAGGCATTTTATCTTTCAGCTTTTAAAAGTAGTAGAAACACTGGGTTAGACACGTGCTCTAAATGTTGCCTGCTAATGCCGTTGGCAACAAAAACTAAGTTGTGGCTGTCTTTGCTCTTCAGAGTAAGTGAATAAATGGGTTGGCTGTGCTGCAGTGAAGACAAGTGACGTTACTTTGCTGCACTTCGGTCTCTAACTTTGTTTATGTACACTAAAAAAGAAATGTGGATTACGTAACTGCTGCGGAGCTCACGTTTACAGAACCATACACCCACCCACCCACGCATGCATGCACACACACGCACACCGCAGCAGCAGTATGAAGTCAAGCGATAGAAGTGATGGCAGTAAAATGAGAGTGTGAAGATTGTGTGCTACAGTTTAACAGCGTTCCTGCAGTATATATTAGGGATTCCTGGTCATGGACAAGACTTTGTGATCTGGGATGTTTTGTGTCACTTACATACCAAATGACCTTTAGAGAATCCTTCTTATAAATCTAAGAGGGTGCTTGTCCTGCCTCTTATCCCTAAGAGTCAGTCAAGAGAAAAAAAGAAAGCAGGTAAAACTGGGCCCTAACAGTTTGCAAGCTGTAGATGTTTGTGTAATATGTGTCAGGACGCTGAAGGCATTTTCCTTTAAAGTGACAAGATGTTGTTGTACAAAAATGTTGTTCCAGAGATTTATAGAATTGCTGTCAAGGGCCATTGAATCTGTTCTGGCAGCACGTGGTAGCAAAACTTCTTACTCCTAACACTCCTAACACTCTGTTTATTTTTTCTCTTTAATTTGATGCCAGTTTATTTAATGCTTTCTTACCATGACGGTCTCAAGGTGCATCATCCTGATGTAGTGGCTTACAGATCCATCCTGGAGGAGACAGAAATCCCATTGGGGTTGTGTCAGGAAGGGCATCTGGTGTGAAAGTCTGCCAAAACAAACATTCAGCGTTACCTGCTGCGATGGCTCTATGAATGAGGGATTAGCCGAAAATAGCTTTTAAGGTGCATTATCTTAACCACTTCAGGAAACAGAAGGAGGTGTCAGATTAATGAGATTAATGATTTCATGTACATAGTTAGGTCATAAGTGTTTATTTAATAGTTTGTTGAGTTGTCACAGCAAATATTTGGCAAATAGGCCAAATGAGAAACAGTCTTTCTTTCCGTGTAAAAAAGTTGAACTACATATTTAATCCTTGAGTTATCTTTATATGAGGAAAAAGAAGGCCAGTCTCATCAGGACATATCAGTTTTTTTCTGCACAATAAGGAAATGCTGCTGCAGGAAATGAAAGAACTGTCACAACTCTCTGGCTTTAAATTGTAAGAAACAAAACATGTAAAATAAGAGAAAAGGTCCTGATGCTCATTATACAATAGATAAAAGCTGTAAAACTTAGTCCAAACATATGCCTTTCATCACATTTCATCACATTTTCCAGAGCTGTCCACTGGGGCCGGATTGGAGCATTTGGCAGGCTGATTCTGACCCCCCCCCCCCCCCCCCCAGGCCATATGTATGACACCCCTGTTTTAGGATAAAGGAAGGGTTCAAAAAAGCCAGAGAAAACAGTGCAGCCATGAGGATTATCAGCCTTACGGGCTTCATGCATTAAGATACGTGGGTTCAAAATATCTGTATCAGCCAATATTGGCCTTACTGACTGGTACCTCCTGCAAATTCTGGCTCAATACTCGAAGATCATGGGATAAAGGGATAA